TGGATGACTGGGGCTACGTCGAAGTTGTGCGACATGACCCACTGGAGGGCGTCTGCGACTTTGTTAAACAGCGATGGTGATGAGCGAAGGCCGAAGGGTAGGCATTTGTCCACGTAATATTGCCCGCGCCAGAACAGGCATAATAGTTCCCAGTCCTCTTTCCGTACTGGACAAATGCGAAATGCGTCTTGGAGGTCGACCTTCCACAGATGGCAGCCACGGCCTAGGGACCGTGCGAGATTTACGCCGTCGTCGACCGAACAGTACTGTACAGAGAATTTGTCGACAGGGATACCATCGTTCACTGAGTGGCCCTGTGGTGCTGACAGATGCATAATCAAGCGCCATTTTTGCACCGACCGTGACTTCTTGGGAACCACACCCAAACCGGAGACCTGTGTAAGTGTGAAGGGGGGCTCTTGGTAGGGACCGGCCATGCGACCTGCGGCAATTTCACGACCGATGGCAGCATCGACAATGTCAGGGTGCTCAATCGCTGATTTGAGATTACGAGAGACTCGGAAGGTACGGGGACCAGCAAACCCAATATCGAACCCGTAAGACAAAGAATGTATTACGAATGAGGCAAAAGCCGGATCAGGATGCTGACACAAAGCGTCCTGCAGGTAAGAAACGTTAATGGGAGTTACAGGCGTGTGCAAATGGATTGGCTCGTGAGCGAGGGTGCGTGTAGGAGAGATGTGAGCAGCTGGGCAGAGTGTGTGAGTGCTATTGGCCTGGGTGAGTGTAGAGTTACCGGTGAGTGACTGGAGTGACCGAGTCTCCAAGCTGGGCAACTGCGAGCTATTGGTCGCGGCTGGCGGCGGCTGGCTTTCCTGGGCATGACTTGGCGGGGTGGCTGCCAAAGCATGTGCTGCACTGGTGGCCGTAGCGACAGGCTGCGCGTTGGCAGCGGCCTTGGTTGTAGTCGCGGCAGACAGCTGGGGCGTTTGGGTGAGCGGTAGCCCCTGACCGCTGTGCCGGAAAGGGGCGTTTGGCTGCTGGCCCGTCAGACAGTGAAGCTAGGCTACGGGCGCGGGGGCAGCGAACTGTTAAATGACCTTGCCGGTTGCAGTGACGGCAGGGAGGCAGGATGGAGTTTGTAAACCACTCCGACCAGAGTTCCGGATCTGACGTGGCAAGGCTAGATTTGCTGCGTGCAGCTCTTGCACGGAACGACATGTCGAAGCCAGACCACGCACCGAATGTATAGCGTGCGGCCGCTTTCACGATTGTGCTTTGGTACTTGAATAATTCCGGACCTCTGCCGGGGTCGTGGTGGAGGGCTACTTGGGCGAAGGCTGAGAACGCCTCCAACCACGATGTCAAGTCTACAACTTTCTTTAGACGGGATGACGACGACATGGCAGATGGCACAAGGGTGATGTGGTCCCCCGTCCCCTGCAGGGTGAACCCACTGTCCGGACCCATGCTCGTATCAAAAGCCAGCTCTCCCAGTACCCTACCAAAATCAACGTACTCACGTTTGATAATCTTGTCCGTGAGATGGTCGCTGAGGGCAGGTAATGGGATGGATGGTGGACGCTCTGGGGCGAGCAAATCGCCGTCCAGGAAGAGACTCTCCTGGTCTGGTCTTAGTGCTGAAGCCAGTGAAGGCTGGACATATTCCGGCTCAGAGTCAGGCACCACAACATCACCAGAGACTGGACCAGCCCGCTGTGCTGCTGTTGCTGCTGCTACAGTTGGCTGTGCATGTGGAGGCACCACCGGTAGACCCATCGAAGTTGTCAATGACGTCATGCAGGACGCCACTGCATCTTGCAAAACAGTTGGATGCACGCAGCAGCACAGCTAGCAAGAGAAAGAGCCGTGGATGGGTTTGTTCCTGTTTTTGATGGCTGTGGCCATCCGTTGGCCCAGCGGTCTCGTGTGAGTACGGTGTTTGTTCGTGCTGCCAGCTCGCGCCCAGCATTTGTTTGCGCTGGCAGCTCGGGCCCGGTGCGCGAGTGAAACCGAACCGTGACAAAGGCTTTCGCTCTTTAGTGCTATTGACTGGCTTTTCATACGATGCCTATTGATGTCTAGAGACATGCTGTCTAGCCTTCCCCTAGTACGCATTCACGGGGCTTTGTTGAAGTTCGTGCCGTGAACTGCCAAAGGGAACTGTTTGAATGGTGCTGGGGCGACTGCGACATTACGGCGTCCCTGCAGCCGGCCTAATCGCGTTTGTCGCCACAACCGATTTTGTGACGTCAAAGTGCTCGTTGTGTCTCTTCACCCAGTGCCTCTCCAAGCCAAACAGCAGTGATCGCCTGGCGTGGAATATTATGTCACCCTCCTCCTGGGAGATGTCCGTGTAGCGGCGGGCGAATTCGACGGATCTCTGGAGGAGGTCTTCGGAGATTGAGGGGTAGAAATCTACGATGTCAAAGCACACGAATATGCAGTTTTCTTTCTCTGGTATTCTTGAGAACCACTCTATCACCGCTGCCGTGTTCCTCCATGTATTAATCTGCAGCTGGGGACGGAGCTGTTTTAGAGCGGTATCCAGTATAGACTTCGAGACTATGCCGATTTCACTCTTTGAGGGATTAATGAGCCGGCATGGCAGGGACCGGGAAAAATTGTCTTTATGATCCTTCAGCGTGATGTATGCGTCCTTCTTCGCCATTGCATCCATTCTGTCGTCCAGCACCAGCGTCGCAGCAATTGTCTGAGCTTCCGAGTTGATCTGGTCGTAAGTCTCTGCCGGTGTAGGTTTGTAATGCTTGGTGATGTTGTTGCTCAGCAGTTTTGTGTACTGCTCTTTGTTGACTTCGTAGAGGTTTCTGGTCTTGTCAGCTGGCACGATGATGTCCGGTGATGCTCTGATTTTCTGGATGTCGCTTCGGAGTCGTTGCTGAAAGGGATCAGTGACTCTACGAAACTCAATCATCTCAATCATTTTTAACGCATCGTCCTCGAACGCCTTCAGTTCATCGACTTGGGGCGGGCATTTCCGGGATTTGAGGCCATAGGTTTCTTTTGGATCGTCGGTTGTCGGTCCTTTCAGGTAGAAAAACGCCTTCCACCGCATCCGCTTCAACACGCTTTCAACCTTCTCGATCAGCCTCGTAGTGTAGGCGTCTTCTGAAGGGATGGGAATGTTCTTCAGTGAGTAATCCAGATGTAGCGGTCTTGGGTTGTCCATCCTCGAGTTTGAACAGCCAGGGAGAGTGCTCAACCCTGGGAACTTTAAACCATCTACAGCCATCACCTAATTAAGTAAGAGACAACCAGCTCCAGTGGTTGTCACCTTTCACCACTGCTGTCATTCACGCTTTGCACTGCCGCCATTCACAACTTTTAGATTTGCGCCATGCTGCAGCTATTTACACTTTGCTTTGTGAGTATATAAACCAATACTGATCCAGATTTCTCATTACTGTTTTCTGATGATCGCTTAGTGCGTGAAACTCGGAGTAAAAACACTTTCTCTGTCCTCCTATTGTTTGAACCAGCTCTACCACTCGGTATTGAGCGCTCTCTTGGACAGCCTGGAACCTCTCTGTTTTACATCATCAGGTATAGATGGTGAAATGGAGCCGCAGTGGATTGGGAGCAAGGGTCTATCTAGTGCGGTGGTGCACTCTTCCCATTTCGGTCGAGATGTTTTCAATCATGGATTTAGGTCATAACCCCCCCCCCCCCCCCCTCCGGCCCCTGAACAACGGAAAAAGAGATGTCGGCAGTGTTTTCTGTATCCAGTGTGCCGGGATTGGCTATAGTGATTAGTAACCTATCAAATGCAGGCTTGCTTGTTGCAGTGTTGTTTCATACAAGCTTCCCTGTTAGAGGATGTACATGTATATATCTCCCTCCGTGTACAGCAGCTCAAGTGCTGTGTATATCTCTCTCTCTCCATGCACAGCAGCTCAAGTGCTGTGTATATCTCTCTCTCTCTCTCCGTGCACAGCAGCTCAAGTGCTGTGTATATCTCTCTCTCCGTGCACAGCAGCTCAAGTGCTGTGTATATCTCTCTCTCTCTCCGTGCACAGCAGCTCAAGTGCTGTGTATATCTCTCTCTCTCCGTGCACAGCAGCTCAAGTGCTGTGTATATCTCTCTCTCTCTCCGTGCACAGCAGCTCAAGTGCTGTGTATATCTCCTTGAGTTCATCATGTCTTCGTCTTGAGTTCGTCTTGTCTGGTTGTGTTTCGTCGTCGTGTCAATAAACAGTCTTCTAAATGTAGTTATCGTCGTCCCTTGGAATAAGTGTGGAGATGGCACGGGACTGGGAGCAGGTGGAGAAAGGCCAGTTACTACATCTCTCTCTCTCCGTGCACAGCAGCTCAAGTGCTGTGCATATCTCTCTCTCTCTCTCTCCGTGCACAGCAGCTCAAGTGCTGTGTATATCTCTCTCTCTCCGTGCACAGCAGCTCAAGTGCTGTGTATATCTCTCTCTCTCTCCGTGCACAGCAGCTCAAGTGCTGTGTTTATATCTCTCTCTCTCTCTCTCTCCGTGCACAGCAGCTCAAGTGCTGTGTATCTCTCTCTCTCTCCGTGCACAGCAGCTCAAGTGCTGTGTATATCTCTCTCTCTCTCTCCATGCACAGCAGCTCAAGTGCTGTGTATATATCTCTCTCTCTCTCCGTGCACAGCAGCTCAAGTGCTGTGTATATCTCTCTCTCTCCGTGCACAGCAGCTCAAGTGCTGTGTATATCTCTCTCTCTCCGTGCACAGCAGCTCAAGTGCTGTGTATATCTCTCTCTCTCCGTGCACAGCAGCTCAAGTGCTGTGTATATATATCTCTCTCTCTCTCCGTGCACAGCAGCTCAAGTGCTGTGTATATCTCTCTCTCCGTGCACAGCAGCTCAAGTGCTGTGTATCTCTCTCTCCGTGCACAGCAGCTCAAGTGCTGTGTGGTCAGGAAATTTGTGTGTGGCCGTCACGGGCATCACCTTGGATTGCCACCGCCGCTAAGATGGGAAAAACTAACAAATGAACGTGTTTTGGATGGCCATTGATTGTTTGCTTGCTGGCCTTTGTCAACTCCTCGCAGGTGCTCTAGGTGGCCGTGTGCTGAGGGCAATGGCTACGAAGTTGTTCTTACCCAACATGCCACCCACGGACGACAGTGCAAGGGGAAGGAGAAATGCGACTTTCAAGGTGACCTCTTTTTAACTATAGTGATCACAAAGAATATGGACTGTTACGCACACACCGTATTTCTGGCAATACTAGCCGAGACGACGCTTAGTAGTTTGCGAGCCCAAAAGTTTCGCTCGGTTTGAAACAAATTGTGGCTGCTGACACGAGGGAAACATGGATAGAGTGAACGGGATTTTCGGTCTTTGACCACTTTGTGGTGGGTTTGATCAACTCGCCTCCCACCGCTTAGGAGCTGCATCTGCGCCTTGATCCTAGAGGGTGGTGGTGTTTCTGCGAATGCGGAAAACTCGTCTCCAGGCGAGTCTCACGCGAACCGTGAATTTCATTTTTTGTTTGTTTGAAAAAACTCAACACAAAGCCCTGAAATGATGTGGCGCATATTTCAGACAGGCGGTAATAGAAGACCGGCCCTAATTCCAGGAAATACGGTATAAACGATTTAGGGATGAAACGATCATCTTACTGTAGTGTAGCGTATAAAAGCATGACCTGTATAAAAGCATGACCTGTATAAAAGCATGACCTGTATAGAAGCATGACCTGTATAGAAGCATGACCTGTATAGAAGCATGACCTGTATAAAAGCATGACCTGTATAGAAGCATGATCTGTACAGAAGCATGACTCGAATAGAAGCCGATTTTTTGAAACGCGCCGTGACACAGAAGCATGGTTTGAATAGAAGCCGCTCCCTGCAAAGTACATGCACGTACATGCGTGGCAGTATGCACTGCACAGTGCAGACTGATAATGTTGACGTAGAAACATGTTTTGAATAGAAGCATAACTTGAATGGAAGCATGGTTTGAACCCCGGCTTATACGGCCGTAAGCACCTGCTTTTATACGCGGCATTACGGTACTCATTATCTCTATGATCGCTACTCGTTATGCTGTTATCGAGTATACACTACTTGTACATGTGCATAGTACTAGCTAAGTCGCACTGTCAACCCCAGCACAGCCGGGAGCTAACACATGCATCATCCGAGGTGACAAAATTCACACCTTTCTCTACTTACCTTCGCACTTTTGGGATCAGGTGTGTACCACCCCCCCCCCCCCCCCCCCCTCAGTAAAACAAACTGGCCGTGCAGGATTTAATTGTCACTGGGAGTCTAGAACTGTGTCACAGTACTTCTAGACGAGTTGTCACAGTACTTCTAGACGAGTTGTCACAGTACTTCCGAGACATGTTATTCCATTAGTCAGCATTACACGTGTATACAGTATTTTACCGTATACACAAGTCATTCATGCGTTATTATCATGTTCCGGAGACCAGGAAACGTTTGATGTGTCATGCATATCCAGCATACTCGTTTCATGATAACTCAGTCGATCGTTTATAACAAATGGTACTCGATAAGAAGAAATGGAGGATCGTTTCATCCCCGGTAGTAAATTAAACATCCTGCACTGTGCGTACCCTTACCCACATACATATGCCACTTCCTGTCACTGTACTGGCATACTCACTGCAACTGTACGCATGCACGCACACCAGTGGTATTCTGTGGGCATCATGTTGCGGAGCTTTCCAGAGCGCTGAGTTAGTTACTTGTCTGGAATAAAGCAAGATAGTAATAGTACAGTAACACAGTAACAAATGAGCCTGCATTTAGCTAACCGCTAATTGGAACAGAGCAAGCCACGTTAAGCACTGTGTTGCATTGGAGAGCTTCTCTTATCCAGACACACCGGAACGGAAAGGGTACCTGTGCCTCAGAATTGTCTGTAATTTGGAAATACACCACAACCATAGTACATAGCACACAATGTCATGTTTCGGTTCAGTTTGGGTCACTGAATCATTCCCAAGCACAAGGGTATGGTGCCATGAAGTTGTTCAGCTGACTGCCACAAAAAGGAAGAACAGTTTAACTGCAGGTACCTGCAGCAGGGTGCCCAGTCGAGGGAGGTGTCTGGCTAAGAGACTGCAGCAGGGCACCCAGTCGAGGGAGGCGTCGAGGGAGGTGTCTGGCTAAGAGAGATTCTACGCCCAGTCGAGGGAGGTGTCTGGCTAAGAGAGGTTCGACCATATATGCACTATGATAGTCAATCCACCCACACCACATCGCACTGCACACCGCACTGCACTCCACACCGCACTCCACATCGCATTCCACACCGCACTCCACACCGCATTCCACACCGCACGCCACACCGCACGCCAAACCACGCTCCGCCCCGCACTCCACTCCGCCCCACACTCCATACCGCACTCCGCCCCGCACCCGCACCGCACTCCACACCGCACTCTACACCGCACTCTACTGCGCACTCCCCACCGCACCTCCCACCGCACTCCCCACCGCACTCCCCACCGCACTCCCCACCGCACTCCCCACCGCACTCCGCAACGTATTCCACACCGCACTCCGCAACGCATTCCACACCACACTCCACACCGCACTCCACATCGCACTCCACATCGCACTCCACACCACACCGCACTCCACACCACACCGCACTCCACACCACACCGCACTCCACACCCCACCGCACACCACACCACACCGCACTCCACACCACACTCCATACCGCGCTCCGCACCGCACTCCATTCCACACAGCACGACTAGGATTCAAGATCCCTGAGCGTGTGCATGGGTGTATGTGTGTACATGTGTATACGTGTGTGCATGTGCGTGCATGTGTGTATGGTGCTTTCTCCATCAGAGTTTAGAGATTTTGCTGCTTCTCGTCCGTCATGCTGCGGTGAAGGATCTGATGGTATCACCTGTCTTCGATCGTATGCTACAAATCATACCTCGTCAAACTGCTGAAGTCCGGGTAGTGTGAGTGGTGTCAAAATTAATATCACTTACCAGTCTTGGGTTATCTGGGCACTTGGGATATCCGACAAGGCGTAGGGCACTAAATATATGACTTCCTCTTATCTCTCTACACGTATTAAACCAGTAAACAGCTGTACATTAACACAACCATCTGCATGCACACTGCATGCACACTGCACAGCATTGACATCTGCATGCACACTGCATGCACACTGCACAGCATTGAGAGCATTGAGAGCATTCAGTTGCAGGGATAGGAGTGGTTTGTCAATCGCTGTTTGCCAGGTTCGCAGTGAGTATTATTTTTAGTGGCAGCAGAGTGAGTGACCCTGGCCGCATCCTGATGTTGGCGGCAAGGTGAGTGACCCTGTCGCATCTTTTGAGAGCTGGGTGGGCTGGGTGAGCCGCACTGCGTCAGGCGAAATAGCATGTCATAGTACATTTGAGATCAGCGGGAAGAAGATGACGACGTCCACTAATTTAGTATCTGTGCACACGAATCTGCTGTGTGTGTGACTCTGTGTGTCAGCTATGATATCATCCCCTGTGGTTCCATGCCTAGCATGTACGTCTGAACCATCCTGCAAAGTTTGAATGACGTAGGTTGAGCGATCGCTCCGCGAAACATACTTTTTGAAATTCTCTTCATAGTATATCTTCCACCATTGAAATTTCGAATTTCTTGCTGAGCTGGGTGGCTTGCAACCTCGATATGGCTTGTTCCAGGCATGCTTTGGAGCCATCCCCTGTTGAAGTAGTGGCGGGGATCTGCCCTGCAACTGCTACAACTAAAAATGATTCGATCTGAGAAAAGGTGAGACCGCGAATCTCGGTTGAATATTGAGTATTTCAAGCCTTTTCACGACGAAGATGGAGTCCTTTTTGGAGATGGACATCGCGGCAAAGGACATGGTGTCCGACTTCTGGCATCTGGTGAAGCCAGGGATCATTTGTCCAGTCAGGTCGGCAGCCTAACCGTCGGTAAGCTTGTATTTGGATCCCGTTCTGCTCAATGTGGTAGATCACAAACAATTTGATATCGCACAAATTGATCTCAGCATCGTGCGTACGGTATTTTATATTCAGAAAATCCCAAAGTGTCTCTGTGTGGCCATCCTATGCCACGAGAAATTCCAATCAGGCTCCTATGTCCTCTGCCTTCATGATTGAATGTCCACTTCGTTTGAACAACGAACACAACAATCGAGGACGGCTTTGCAATGAAAAATACAGCTATACTGGAGCTGAAAAAAGAAGAAAAAACGTGCTCAGGATGAGACTCGAGTACACGCATACTCTCCCAGCGAGTGAAACGCAAATGTTTGTGAAAAATGCGTGTCGCCGACTGACCAGTAAATTCGCCTGACGGGCAGGATGAGCCTGGTGAGCGAGATTGACTCCCCAAATTGATAAAGCATCCTATTTCCACTACGACACCAGAGATTGCGCAATAGTTGCCTTGTGTGATAAGGCAATGGGCAAGAAAGAAGGCTGGGGCACAGCAGAGTGCCGGGACAGAAAATGAAAGCAGAGCTGTCAACGTGTTCAGAGATCTCAGCTCTGGTATTACAGCTTACCGGCTGAGAGATGGGCAGTCTTCCATCACAAGGAGGCACAAGGTGCTGACGCTGTCTCCCCAGGAAGGGATGGAAGTCGTCTTGGGTCAAGCGGGTCCCGGTTGGCTGTCGGGTGGAGGTTGCGGAACCGGAGGAGCTCTTGGCGGGATAGGGCATCAGCATGCACATTGGTGACGCCAGGAATGTGGCGTGCAGTAATCATGAAGTTGCCCTTCGCACAGATGAAGAAAAGCTGTCGGAGAAGTGCCATCACATTGGGACACTTGCTGGTGCCAAATGCCATGACAGCAACCACTGCCGTGTTGTCCGAGTGGAAGCAGATGCGCATGCGGCTCCACTTGTGGCCACAGGTAGCGCATGCCATACAGATGGGGTATAGTTCCTTGAATGTGATGCAGCGTGCAGTGAGGTGCCGAGGCCAACAGACTGCAAACCATTCAGGACCGTAGAGTGCACGGTAGCCGATCAAGCCAGGAGCATCGGTCTCGATGGAGATATTGTCTCCGCCGTTACATGGGATTGCAGCAGAAGGGCTTTGCCATTCCACCCCTCCAGCAAGTGTGACAGACCTGGCGGGTGCTGACCGCCCCTGATGGAAAGGGTTGCGCGTGCAGCCCCCCTTGAAAGGGGACCAGCTACGCCCCCGATGTACTTGTACTGACTCCATACAATGTGCAGCTGGATTTACATACATTAGAAAGGACACGATGCAGTGCTCTGACATGCAGACCATTATAATCACTGTACATAAAACCAATGTTGTAGTGTTCACGTGTACTTACACGCTGTGACATTCCTTGGCCACTCCAGACATTCATGATGCATGTAGTAGTAGGAGTACATCGTGTTGTGTTGTTATGCATGTAGCATGTGCCGTTTCCCGCGCGCGCGCGCGTGAAACGGACTTCGCGGCTTTTAGTTGCTGTGCATGAGTTGAGTCTGGACTCTTGTTGTTTTGGACTGAAGAAATAAAGAATACTACAAATGTGTCTTGTTTTCCTCTTCGCTGGTTGGTAGCGTCGCCCGCTCGATTATGGTCCCGGACGATGAGATATATCTCTCGCAGCTGGTTGTCTGCATGCAGATTATCTGCTGCGTTCTCAATGGTGGTAAGCCGGCATGTTGTAAATGAATCAATGTCATTCTCCTGCAGTTGCAGTTGCTGTCTTGAATCTTCACCAATGCTGCTTGATTGTGAAGTACAATGTACTGGTTGCCAGAGCTGCAGTTCATGCGTTCATGCGTTCATGCGTTCTCCAAATCCGACCGCTTACCTGGTTGGCATATTTCGTGTCGTGAAGCAGCCTTTGACACCCGCAGCTTAGCCCAGCTTATCTAGTACAGCCCAGCGTATCTTGTACAGCACAGCTTAGCCAGTACTGCTCAGCTTAGCCAGTACACTCACAGCTTAGCCAGTACAGCTCAGCTTAGCCAGTACAGCTCAGCTTAGCCAGTACAGCTCAGCTTAGCCAGTACTGCTCAGCTTAGCCAGTACTGCTCAGCTTAGCCAGTACTGCACAGCTTAGCCAGTACTGCACAGCTTAGCCAGTACTGCACAGCTTAGCCAGTACTGCACAGCTTAGCTAGCACAGCCCAGCTTAGCCAGTACTGCACAGCTTAGCCAGTACAGCCCAGCTTAGCCAGTACAGCCCAGCTTAGCCAGTACAGCCCAGCTTAGCCAGTACTGCACAGCTTAGCCAGTACTGCTCAGCTTAGCCAGTACTGCACAGCTTAGCCAGTACTGCACAGCTTAGCCAGTACTGCCCAGCTTAGCTAGTACTGCCCAGTTTAGCCAGTACTGCACAGCTTAGCCAGTACTACACAGCTTAGCCAGTACTACACAGCTTAGCCAGTACTGCACAGCTTAGCTAGTACTGCTCAGCTTTGTTCACAAGTCCAGCACTCAGCATCTCGTGGCGTAGGTCTCGCATGAGTGGTGAGATTTCACTGGTAGCTGGCACTGGAGAAAATACTGAAGGCAACTGGGAAGCACAACAGGCTGTTCCGTGACGTTTGTTGTTATTGCGTTTAGCCAGCTTTGGTATGGAAGAGTCAGACGACAATACTTTGCCATTCCCAAATCTGCTATGATGTGAACTTTCTTAAAGACGAGGTATTCAACGGCCAGCCTGCCAGCCTGGCATCTGGTCAGTGGTATGCAGGTGCACAATGATTGCTCTTATACGACTCTGGACTGGTTTGAATCACAATTATCCTCCTTCTTGGCCATGGGCCATCGTGGAAATAAAGAATAATAGAGAATGAATGTGTGTGTGTGTGTGAGAGAGAGAGAGAGAGAGAGAGAGGGAGATTTAGAGAATGTGTGTGTGGACGCGCGTGTGAGTGTATGTGTATGTGAGAAAAGAGAGAGAGAGTGTGGGTGTATGTTTGTGTAATGGTGTGGGCATGTGTGGATTTGGCATTTGTCCCCAGCTCTATTCTATTATCATTCACGCCGGAACTACTGCTGCATAGCCCCAAGTCTGAAGACTTGGCAACTTCACGCCTGCACCTGACTCTTGCGCTATGATACGCGTCGCCTATGATACCCCTCAGAATTTCCCACCTTGCTCCCCCTTATGTTCTGACTGCCCGTTTTGGATCCATCAGTTGCCTGATGATCGTAGTAATGTGAAACTCAGAGTTGTAACAAAAGCTTCCAATCTCTCTCTTGTGACTAATAAAGAATAATAATAATGATGCTGTGTATATGGTGACAATGGCAGGATTCTAAAAACCGTGTGTGATTTGTTTGCTATGCCTGTGATGCGGTCAGAGAGCGCCTGTGTCCGAGAAGTGGACTACCTGCGGGATAGATTTCAAACGCGAACGCTTGCCATCCTTCTTGATGACTTACTCGTGTCACCGCCGGAGAAGCCCGGACAGTCGCCGCGCTTCCCAAGCCTGTCTCCGCTGGCCACTGCCACTGCTCCCATTCAAGTGCTTTACCCTCGAGCCGTGCAATCAAAAGCGCACGGTACCGGTACCAGTGCCAGTGGCAGTGGTGCCAGTGGTGACAGCAGCAGAGGAGGCAGTGGTGGTGGCAGCAGAAGCCCCAGACTAGGTGGGTTTCCGCTTGTTTCATTATTACCCCTGCGTTTCCTATTAGATTCTCGTCATTCACCTAGCTTAGCCATGGTCTGAGGGGAGTAGCTAGAATCTGTGCTGACGCCATTCACCTGGCAACCTCGGAGCATGCAAACCGATGACCAACAGAGAGTAGAACAGAACGAAACTATCGTGTGAATTAAACAAATGCTGAATGTACCTAATCACAGCTCAATGTAACCATACATACAATGTATGTCTGCCCTGCCACATACCCTCAGAGAAACAAATGATGCATGCAATCCGAATAAGCAACAGTGGCAAGGCTTCCTGCAGCTTCGTATAAGGCAGTGTCGTCCTCGTCGTCGTTGTTGTTGTTCTAGTTGTTGTTCTTGTTGCTGTCGCTGTCGTTGCTGCTGCTGTTGCTGCTGTTCTTGGTGTTGTTGTTGATGCTGCTGCTGCTGTTGTTGTTGTTGTTGTCTGGCTGGCTGGTGACAGAGAGCAAAGAGGCACGTGCCACGAAGAAGAAGGCTGCCACACTGGAAGGCCTACTAGATGACAGGGAAGCTCGAAAGGAGCAAAGCCATGCTGTCTCCGACTCGGAAGTTGTGACTAGGAACCGGCCCCGCGCAATGGATGCAAGCAGGTAGATCTAATGATTGTTTTGATCAATTCACGCACACTTTACACATGTGCGATGGGATCAAACACGCTGTCATGTGGTATGTACGCATGCACGCATGTAGGCACGCAAGCGCCTTCCTTCACTCCTTTGTCCTACTGCCATGACTGGCTATAGGTTTTTTTCACTTGTGAATTATTTACACGCATTTGCTCCTGTACTGCCCTACTGGGAGCTATCATTGTTGTGATCTTGTTTATGTTCATGGTTGTTGAAGTTGACTACCTACCCACCCACCCTGGTTGCGTTCATATGTTCCACTGTTCTCGGTACGGCATGTCATTGCATATTCCTCTGCAGTTTATTTAGCCACGTTTCATGGATTTTCTGTTGCTGGGTTTGACCAGCAGCGAGACAGATAGAAGTTCCACAGATGGGTTGTTTGTCCCCCCCCCCCCCCAAAGTCGGTTTCTCCTCTAGCTCGGTTGAGTGGCTAGGAATTTCGGAAGTCATTGCTGTTTGGTTGTTCCTTGCTGCCCAGCACCCATGCTTATTCCTGATCCAGCTCCTTTCCCACCTTCTCCTGCAGTCTATCACACCTGCTTGCAGTCCCCAAGTGAATTAGGCTTTTGTGCTATTTCTCCAGCACGGGTAGTTCTTTCTATGCACTCGTGGACCACCACTGCTACGGGAGTGGCGAGCGTGACTTCTCTGGCAGACCACTACCCAAGGGTATGGAACAGTTGCTCATCAAGTGAAACGCATCCCTTCACTTTCTTTTTTTCCTGTTTAATTTCGGCCTTGTTACATATTTCTCAGCAGAATGGGTCACCTGTCTGATCCCACGCCCGGAGCACCAATGCGCTTACCTCAGCGCCGCCATCTTGACCCATCAGCTTTGCGCAACATGTCTACATCCGTGCTGCAGCAAGCCCTCTGCTGGGGAGACCTGAGTGACCTGGCTCCAAGTGCAGGCACGGCTGCAGAGGATGATGCGTTCAACGACGAAGCGAGAAAGGTAAGCAAAAGAGCAAGAGTCGGGAAATCAATTGGAAGGGTCTCTTAGGACGGAAGCTGGGATGGTTGTGTTCTTTTACATGGGTGTGATCACAGGCGGCGTATGCAGGTAAGTATGCATTCACCATGTACTTTGTATGACTGTTCAGCAGGTCAATAAATCTTAGTGTTAAAATGTGGTCCATGTAGGAAGTCACTGTCGCTCCTCATCATGAGGAGAATTGCAAAGGTTAGATCTGGGATCAATCGTGTATGGCTCAGAGACAGTACGGAAAGAGACAGTACGGAAAGAGACAGTACGGAAAGAGACAGTACGGAAAGAGACAGTACGGAAAGAGACAGTACGGAAAGAGACAGTACGGAAAGAGACAGTACGGAAAGAGACAGTACGGAAAGAGACAGTACGGAAAGAGACAGTACGGAAAGAGACAGTACGGAAAGAGACAGTACGGAAAGAGACAGTACGGAAAGAGACAGTACGGAAAGAGACAGTACGGAAAGAGACAGTACGGAAAGAGACAGTACGGAAAGAGACAGTACGGAAAGAGACAGTACGGAAAGAGACAGTACGGAAAGAGACAGTACGGCGACAAACACTATACACTACAGGTTACGTTTGCGATTTGAAACATGCCGCATCACCTCACTACAGCCAACGTTTGTAATTTGCTGTGACTTTTTCAGCTTGTTTTTGTCTTGATTGCAGTCACCTTGTCCTGCCTGACGTTATTTGAACTTATTTGATAACTTAGAACCGTCCGAGTTGGGACTGTTGGGTGGCGCATTCGAGACATGATCGAGCTGAACGTCAGGTCGTTGAATGCCAGCATCACTTGCCAGCATTGTGCTAGCGTTCTGTTGCAGGTCCCGAGTCCTCCGATATTTTGGTTATAATATTACAGTAGGACGACTATGGGTAACATGTTCACTATTGGTCCTCTCTATTTGATTCTAGTCATTGGCTCCCTTCACCAGTCTAGTACTGAAAATATCAATATTGGACCCATTCAGGATCCTCTTGCTTTCAACCATGAATAGACTATAACCATGTCACTGCTGCTGTCTTCTGGATCACTTATATGTAGGACATGACATCAAGTGCTAGTTCAACTCAGCAAGCTCAGGCCGCCGGGTCGTCTGATTTCCCCGGACTATCGCAGCGTGCCATGTCGGGCATCCTGCCGGCATCCAGTACTCAGCCCATTCCGGAACTTCTAGCAGAGGACACCGAGGACGCAGACGCCCAGCCAGAGGAAATGCCTTTGTCTGAAAGTCCTGAAGCGGGCGATTCTACACCTGCTGGTCTACCCAAGAAGTCCGGCCAAGGGGAGGATGCCACCGAGAAGCCATCATTTGGAGTTTTTTTCAGCGAGCAACACCGCGGCTGGGGTCGTCCTGAAGGAAGCGTTCAACACTTGCAAACGCATCACGGTGCGCCGGAGAGCCGGTTTACTCTGCTTCCTTACTGGCAGGGCGGTGAGTGAGTCATGCATGTACTTTGTTTTAGTCTTAAATACCGAATTGGGGCAATGCAGCTGCCACCATTGCGCAGCATATGCTGGTTGCTCTAGCATCTCAGTTAGCCTGCAGGCAGGTGTTGGATGTGTTTCACCATTGTTGGTCCCAGTGACACTGCCATTCCCCAGTGACACTGCCATTCCCCAGTGACACTGCCATTCCCCAGTGACACTGCCATTCCCCAGTGACACTGCCATTCCCCATTGACACTGCCATTCCCCAGTGACACTGCCATTCCCCAGTGACACTGCCATTCCCCAGAGACACTGCTATTCCCCAGGGACGCTGCTATTCCCCAGTGACGCTGCTATTCCCCAGTGACACTGCTATGCCCCAGTGACACTGCTATTCCCCAGTGACCCTGCTATTCCCCAGTGACACTGCTATGCCCCAGTGACACTGCTATTCCCCAGTGACCCTGCCATTCCCCAGTGAAACTGCTATTCCCCAGTGACACTGCTATTCCCCAGTGAAACTGCTATTCCCCAGTGACACTGCTATTCTCCAGTGAAACTGCTATTCCCCAGTGACACTGCTATTCCCCGGGACACTGCTATGCCCCAGTGACACTGCTATTCCCCAGTGAAACTGCTATTCCCTAGTGGCATTGTACTGCTGGCAATCCATGTGGTCTTCGTTTACGTGCAGGTGACGATATCTATTCCAAGGACTGGGGTACTTCGCGTGGCAGACCATTATCTGAGTACCGATCGTCGACGCAAGAGAGGAAATCCTCGTCACAGACCAACGGTGCTACCATACGGGAGACTTTTCTGAAGAAGACGGCGGCGTCCATTGTTAGCGTGTTAAGCCTGTCCATGTACCACACCCTGCCAAGTGCCAGTGATTGTGCAGATGATGAGGACACTGACAGTCGTGGCAGCCTTGACAGAGATGATGATGATGATGGCGATGATCATGATGATGAGGGTGATGGTTAGTCGCAAAGTCAATTAGTAGTATTAGTAGTATGACTGCATTCAAACATACAGTAAAACCTGTAACTAAAGACCGGCACCGTGACTAGCGACCACCGTGACTAGCGACCACCGTGACTAGCGACCAGCCTGGTACTACCGACCACCGTGACTAGCGACCAGCCTGGTACTACCGACCATTTCACCAGGCATGGGCGGTCTCACATTCAAAATACACTGTGACTAGCGACTACCTGCTGAACGCGACCAGCGACCGCCTTTTCTTGTCCCAAAGACGACTTTTGACCCGTAACTAGCGACCGCGATGTAGGAGATCAAGTGTTGCTCGAAGCTCCTTCTTGAAATTTTGCTGATTTTCCATGGTCCTGAAAGGAATCTTTCGATACTACAGCTGAACAAATGAACGCAGATCATTTTGACGGTGGAGTTCGAGTCGGTGTGGAGTGCACTACGCCTGTCAAAATAATTTCAAGCCCAGTCAAGAATAAACATGATAGGAAACATCTTGGAGAGCGCATCGGAAGTGCTCTCTGATCGATGTTACTACTCAGAGGAGAAACGAAGACTGAGCGGCTCTGTCACCCCAGTCATACAGACGAATCGACGATTGCATCAAGGAATCCATAAACAAAGCAGCACTGCAAGGTCCTGATGCTGACGGATCGCGTTCAAGCAATCGAGAAGTCCGCACAACAAGGACCGTGAGTCAGTACGATTGATCGCATGAACAAATTTGAAGCCCAGCGCAAAACGAAACTTCCCCAGGGAACATTTGACTCCTGGCTTCAGAAGTAGCAGCTGAATTTGATGTCTGCAAAAAAAAAATCTTTTCTCCATCTCTCTGTCTCTCTTCATCTCTCCGTCTTTCTCTCCAAGTGTTGTTTGACCTAAAATAAGAATGGTATTGCGCAAGTCCTGGGGAATTGTATTGGCTGTGTTTTGACATACATATCATATAATGGGATCCATATATGGTCACGCAGTGCAAACCTGTAACTAAAGACCACCTGCTACTAAAGACCGCTTTTGCTGGCACCAAGGGGTGGTCGGTAGTCACAGGTTTTACTGTACTTGGTGCTTCTTGAAATGCTCCTATCGACCTAAGTTAATATCAAATACAGCAATGAAGAGCAGGGGCGTCGCACACGCTACGGTCACTACGGTATTGACCGTACCACTTTTTGCCCCAGATACCCCGTCAATCAACAAAATACACTGATCTGGGATCTAAAATTCCAAAATTTTCGGCTCAGCCACCACCCCCCCCCCCCCACGAGTAAATTGTCCTCCAGATGGCTGACCGTACTACACTAAAATACCTTCCAACGCCCCTGTCTTCATATAGCAACAGTCACTGACAACACCTACATGTGGATGATTGACCGCACGCTCTGTCTGCCTACTGCCTACTGCCTACTGCCTGCTGGTGCTTGCACTGCACAAATGCGTACAGTCAATGCTGGGCTGCATCCGCCATCTCCAATCTGCACAGTCCAAACGAAAAGCGCACCAAGCAAGCAGACCCCCCTCTGCATTTTGGATACCTAATACATGTACCGGTAGTATGTATGTATGTATAACTCATAATCACAAGGTGATCGTAGAGGCATTAATCAGCGAGAGAATTGTGAATGATGTCTCTGAATCCAACTCTATCGTGTGCTGCATGAGAGAGAGCATGCAAGGGAAGACGGTAGTAGTAGTAAGCATATGAGTGAAATTTTCCAACTTTCTGCATACAAATCACAGTTGTGTGTGCGTGTGCGTGTGTGTGTGTGTGTGCGTGTGCGTGTGCGTGTGCGTGTGCGTGTGCGTGTGCGTGTGTGTGTGTGTGTGTGTGTGTGTGTGTGTGTGTGTGTGCGTGTTCTGTATTGGTCGCTGGCATTGTTGTCTTCTTAGCTGCTTGCACAACGCAGATCTCAGCAGCGGGCATGACAGTCATCGGCCAGGCGGCTCTATTGCAGTCCAGACTACTGATGAGCAACCCGGCCGATGCCGAGGAGCGCAAACCATCATTGAGCAATGGCGCAGTCCTCTGGGATGCCAGGCATGTTCTCATGCAGTGTGCCCTGGCCAATTTCAACCAGTGCCCACCAAAAGGTGAGCCTACGGTCCAATGACTGGTACAACGACTGCTGGACAGTATTAGTAGTTGGTCCCCTTATTGCGCAGTGTGTAGTCTTGGTACCGAACAGACCTCCTCTAAGTGATACGGTGTTGCCCAAGATCTTGAACAGCTAGGCTTTCCAGATTAGTGCCGATGCAAGAATACACTTGATAGGAGTGCCTATTTTCTTTGTACTTTCCAGCTATCGGCCATGGTAACAAAGGAAAGTTTGATGACCTCTGGGACGAGGATGCTGGAACAGTCGATTACCGCTGGTTCCCCAAGAAATTCAACACGACAGCCGTAGAACTTTGCAACGCTACACAAGCATCTATCATCAACGTAGACAAAGTCCTTGTAAGTGCTGCTGCTGTATGCTATGGCTGTGTTCCCCTGCACGTACAATCGGTTGTGGCGACAAACGCGATTAGGCCGGCTGCAGGGACGCCGTAATGTTGCACTCGACCCAGCACCATTCAAACAATTCCCTTTGGCAGTTCACGATACGAACTTCAACAAAGCCCCGTGAATGCGTGCCAGGGGAAGGGTAGACAGCATGTCTCTAGACATCAATAGGCATTGTATGAAAAGCCAGTCAATAGCACTAAAGAGCGAAAGCCCTTTTCAAAGTTCGGTTACACTCGCGCACCGGGCTGGGAGCTGGCAGCACAAACAAACGCCGGGCGCGAGCTGGCAGCACAAACAAACGCCATACTCACACGAGACCATTTGGCCAACGGATGGCCACAGCCATCAAAAACAGGAACAAACCCATCCACGGCTTCTTTCTCTTGCTAGCTGTGCTGCTGCGTGCATCCAACTGTTTTGCAATTTCTTGGTGAGATTTGACATTTCTAAAGTTCAGCAGTCGTAGGAGATCCTGAGCCGTCACCATGAGCTCCGTGCCATCACTTTCCGATCTCCGCCAACTCGAAGTCGACGGAGTTGAAACTTGACTCAGCGAACTAGAGCTTTCATGCTCAGGCAATTTTGGATCCCAGGTCAGCCGTCTTCATAAGCATTTGTCGGCCCAGGCAAGAAACGAGGCTTCTACCAATATGAGCCAGGTCACAAAAAGGCCACGCGTCGGCGGGCTAGTCCTGCGTCAGCCCCCGCCACTCACAGCCCCGCGGCTGCGACCCAGCCTGGTTCGTCGCCCGCGTTCACGTCGCAGCAATCTGCAGAGATCTCCCGGGTTCTTCAGGATGCAGTAGCGTCCTGCATGACGTCATTGACCACATCGATGGGTCTGCAACCGGTGGTACCTCCACATGCACAGCCAACACTCCCAGCAGTAGCAACAGCAACAGCAGCACAGCGGGCTGGTCCAGTCTCTGTTGATGTTGTGGTGCCTGAGCCTGAATACGTCCAGCCTTCACTGGCTTCAGCAATAAGGCCAGACCAGGAGAGTCTCTTCCTGGACGGCGATTTGCTCGCCGCGGAGCGTCCATCATCCATCCCGTTGCCTGCCCTCAGCAACCATCTCACGGACAAGATTATCAAACGTGAGTACGTTGATTTTGGTAGGGTACTGGGAGAGCTGGCATTTGATACGAGCATGGGTCCGGACGGTGGGTTCACCCTGCAGGGGACGGGGGACCACATCACCCTTGTGCCATCTGCCATGTCCTCGTCATCTCGTCTAAAGAAGGTTGTAGACTTGACATCGTGGTTGGAGGCTTTCTCAGCTTTGCCCAAGTAGCCCTCCACCACGACCCCGGCAGAGGTCCGGAACTATTCAAGTATCAGAGCACAATCGTCAAAGCGGCCGCACGCTATACTTGGTCCGCGTCAGGGATATTGTCGCTTATCTACCAGCTTCTTTTTTATGTCGCCAATGCTCACTTGACAGCCCATTTCCTCCCACATTCGGTTTGTAAGTTGGTTTACCACTACTTGAAAGGTCTAGCTAGACATTGAGTGGAATTTCGAGAACAAGTGGGGGTGGTTCTGATCGATACCACGACGCATCAAAATAGAACATCTTGTCACACAGTACAGTCAAGAGAGCGCGATGCACAATAAAAAAAGCATGATTCCTCTGAATTAGTTCCATTCTTCTTCCTGTTGCAATCATGGCTAGACCAACTAACAACAGCACAAGAACACCAGGGAGGAAAGCTCCACGGCTGAAGAGAGTAGTTGCGAAGATAGCTGCTGGTGGTGTGACACCAGCAACACAAGTGAAACAAGCGACGCCACGCAAGCGAGGAGCAGAAATCAAAACGCCGGATCGATGGCGCATTGTCACAGCGTACATGGCCCTTGCAAAAGGCCGAGATCGCTTACCTCGGGGGTCGATCGCCAAGTTGAAATCTCAGTTTCCTCACCTGCAGCTGAACGCTCGGAGTGTCCAGCGCATCGTGGAAAATTACAAGAAGCAGGCGCAAGACACTGCGACCAAGGGAAATATCAGAATGACTCGTCGACGCGCCAGCCTTTGCGGTGGCTTCAATCTCAAGTTGACTCCTGAGCTGGCCAAGAAAATGGTCGAGATCAACGACAAGGCGTGGGGGAGACTGTCGTGCAAGAAGCTGGCAGGGGAGCTAACTGAAGCTGGATATCCATGCTCAGAACCGTCCGTCAGACGGTGGTGTCAGGCGCTTGGTGCTGTGAGAAGACGGAGATATATCAAGCCCAAGCTCACTGTTCGCCATCGCCTCAACAGACTATCGTGGGCCATCGACCAATACAACAGGGGAAGGAGAAAGTTTGTGGACAATTTGAACATGTGCCACGGGGACGAGAAATGGTATTAATTGATGCGAGATGGCACGATTTGTCGAGTCTTCCCAAAGCAAGACGGAGCTACAAGCGCAGTGTCTATGCCAGCGGACCCAAAGATCTTCCACAAATCGCGCATGCCTAAGGTGATGTTTCTCTGTGTGACAGCTCGCCCGCGCCCCGAGTACAACTTCGACGGTAAGATTGGACTGTGGCCATTCACCCTACAGCGCACGGCGAAGCGCAGTGACTCGCGTACTGGCACAGTAGCTGGAGAGACGCTTGTTCTCGAGACTGTGAACGTGAATGCCGTGGAGTACAGAAAGGTGATGTTGCGTAAGGATGGCGTCTTGGACAGTATTCGCAAGAAGATGTGGTGGTTTCGCAGCGGCTCTGGCAAACCTGAAGCTGGGCAAACTATCATCTACCAGCACGACGGTGCTCGCCCCCATACCGCAGCCGTAAACGAGCGCCACTGGGCCCAGCACTCGAGCAAGCAGGGCGTGAAAATCAAAGTGATCACGCAGCCTGCGCAATCTCCCGATCTCAACACGAACGATCTGGCGTTCTTCGCGAGCCTACAGAAAGACGTGGAGATGGTCGCGAAGAAAAATGTGTTCGACTTACTGCAAGCTGTACAAGATGCGTGGCATGCGTATCCAGTCGACAAGATGGAATCGGTTTGGCGTGTACTGTACGCGTCGTTCAAGGGAATTCTCGCAACGGACGGCGACAACTCGTATTCGCACCACACAGGCAGTCGCGCTGCCCACGCGAAGTCCTCTAGAGCAGGCGATCGTCACGATCGAGCATTCTCTTTAGACACCATCAAGGCAGCTGAGAAGAAGCGTGATGAGCTGGCAAAAGCTTTGGAGTCGGTCGGAACGGAAGTCGTCAGCAGCGCAGACAGCGCTAGCGCGGAGAGCAGCGACGAGGAGGACTAAAAAAAGCATGAACCCGTCTATGGACAATAAATTCCTTCTGGCTACTTGTTATTCTATGTCTTACCTTCCTTCGTACCAAGTTTCATCGCTTTCAGCGCATGCATTGTTGTCTAAAGTCCAAGTTTAAATTTTTGAAAGATAAGCGACAATATCGCTGACGCGGACCAAGTACATTCGGCGCGTGGTCCGGCTTTGACATGTCGTTCCGTGCAAGAGCTGCACGCAGGAAATCCAGCCTTGCCACCTCAGACCCGGAACTCTGGTCGGAGTGGTTTACCAACTCCATCCTGCCTCCTTGCCGTCACTGCAACCGGCAAGGCCACTTAGCAGTTCGCTGCCCCCGTGCCCGTAGCCTGGCTTCACTGTCTGAAGGGCCCGCAGCCAAACGCCCCTTTCCTGCACCCGAGAGCACCTACTCCCTCTTGGAGGGTCAGGCCTACCAGTGGCTAGGCCTGTCAGCATCCACACGCGCCACATACGCGACAGCCTGGAAACGACTGGACCAATTCTGCAAACTAGTCAGCACCAAGGTGATTACAGACACCATCATGCTGGCGTTTGTAGCCTACCTGGTACGTCAACATGCCGCATCAACCGTCCGCTTGTATGTGTCGGCGATCCGGGCAATTGCCAAAGAAAACGGCAGAGATCTCTTCGCGAAGAGTGGACCTCGCAGTTCAAGGAGTGGCACGTGCACAGGTCAACCGAACTAAGAACGCCAGTAAGCCAATCCTCCTGCCCCACGTGGCAGCTATGCGCAATGCCCTGATTCGGTCTAATCTCAACGCTACCGACCGAGCCATGGTATGGGCAGCTATTTGCCTGGGCTTCTTCGCCTGTCTCCGGGCAAGCGAATACACTTCCACAACCGCCACAACCATGTCAGACGATGGCCTTCGATCAGAAGACCTCTCCCGTCACGCCGCAGGCAATACAGGTCACAATCAAGAAGTCCAAGACCGACCAACTCGGCAAGGGTCACTCCGTCCAGCTCACAACCACCACCTCAACGGTTTGCCCGGTCAGAGCCATGTATACCTATCTCTCCAGACGCGCCAACCTGCCCAATAGACCACTGGTCGTCGAAAGCTGTGGCAATTTCCTGGCTGCACAAAGACTCACACGTCTAATCCGTCAGCTCCTGAGCAGCGCAGGGTACCCACCGAATTAGTATTCACTGCACGGCCCCAGAGCCGGAGCCGCAACCACAGGAGCATTGAGCGGCTTCACCGAATCCGAGACCATGAAACTCGGCAGATAGCGAAGTGCCTGCTACAAGCACTATGTCCACTGTGGAAAGTAACTGTTCACCGTCCGCAGGCGCGCAAGCGCGCACAGCCACACCCACATACACGCACCTGCATACACATACACACGCACGCACACACCCCCACGCATGCACACACACATGCATGCACGCGTACGCGCACCCGCACTCTGACACCGCGCAAGCAGGCATGCAGGTACACCCGCTGCGCACCCGCTGGTACGCCCACTCGCGGACGCACGCACTCACGTTCTAGCACTGACTGTGCACGCACGCTTCTGATACTTATGAGAAGCTATCTGCTCCACTCAGTTTCTGTGCTATTGCTCTCACCTATGGCACCATGCCACCCATGGCTTTTGCCGACTACATGCGATTCAAACCCTTATCAGTGTCACTAAGGGAATACAAACATACGAATGGCACGCATTCGAACTACATACATGTAGCTGAAGCGCTTGAATACCACACTAAGGTCATTCAGCTGACCAACGCGGAATTTGGGGGCATTCGGCAGCTTGGTCTGATTCCTCGCTTGTTGGTAACCGGCTTGAGATTTCCAAGGATGCTATGACAACGTGTAGTCATGCGCAGTGCCACCCAACATGCATTTGGGGGCCCAGGAAAGACAGAAACGCGTTGCTAGACAACAGCAAAAGCGCTCGGCGAGTATCACGCTACTCGTGCAGCGCGCACGTTGGCGTAGGGTATCACGCTACCCTTGTGCTGCGGGGTACCACATTGCCCCTCGCTGGAATCACGCACGTTGGCGTAGGGTATCACGCTACCCTTGTGCTGCGGGGTACCACATTGCCCCTCGCTGGAATCACGCACGTTGGCGTAGGGTATCACGCTACCCTTGTGCTGTGAGATACCACATTACCCCTCGCTGGAATCAGACCTGTGCCCCGGATACCTTGCACGTGCTGTAGATGTGCGGGATACGTGTGTTTGTGTATGTGCTAAAAATGAGAATGAACGCGTTGCACGGATCTCTATTCTTGGCCGGTATGTGTCGATATGCACTAGATGTGCGTCAGATCAACAGTATCAGACGAGGATGGATGCCACGCTTCAAAAGAGCAATGTTCATGCCGAGAGGTCGCCACCGCATGCACTGAGTGCCAGTGAATGCCTACTGCCTACTGCCTACTGTACTGCAGACTGGCAGTTATACTAGGCTTTCATCAACACCAAGTGCACATCGTTAGTGAGTGCATCATTCTCTCTCTCTGTGTTATGGTATTGCAGGCAGCCAACGTGCAGTGGACATACGAGACAGTGGTTGCCAACCAGCCACTGCAATACAAGCACAATCCAGCTGGCGACCGTTGCTTCCCCTGGACCTACATGTATGAAGTAAGTACATGTATGGGGTTTTCCCCTGGTCCTACATGCACATGTATGAAGTAAGTACTCGTATGGGGTTTCTCCCTGGACCTACATGTATGAAGTAAGTACATGTATGGAGTTTTCCCCTGGACCTACATGCATGAAGTAAGTACATGTATGGGGTTTTCCCCTGGACCTACATGTATGAAGTAAGTACATGTATGGGGGTTTCCCCTGGACCTACATGTATGAAGTAAGTACATGTATGGGGTTTTCCCCTGGACCTACATGTATGAAGTAAGTACATGTATGGGGGTTTCCCCTGGACCTACATGTATGAAGTAAGTACATGTGTGGGGTTTCCCCCTGGACCTACATGTATGAAGTAAGTAAATGTATGGCCGGCATGGCTCCTTGGGTCCCCGCTGTCGGCGGTGTTCTAACATGTGTACACGTGGACATGCACACTGAAACGTGGACACACATGCACATTAACACACGGGCAGGCATGCTACATGAGCACGCACACACACACACACACACGCACACACACACACACACACACACACACACACACACACACACACACACACACACATTCACACGCTTGTACTTGTACTTGCTCACTGCCAAAACTGGTCACGTGGGTCTCCCCGGGTGAGGGGAGAGAGACTTAAAAGGAATCTTGGAAAGATGACGGCACACGCATGCATGCACGCATGCACACTCACACATGCACACATACATGCACACATACATGCACACTTACACAATACACACACACACATACACACACACAGTGCGGATCGGCTATAGGGTTGTCGGCTATAGTAATATACCTCTTATAGTGATCGTATTCTCAAATTCATTTTTGTAAACCACCCCTTTCTATACATATCGGATCGGCTATAGTAATAATCGGCTATAGTAATAATATCGGCTATAATGGCAATAAGAAAGGGTTTGCTCCCCACACCGGAGCTCGCGCTATTCCGCCGACTTTACTTGACACTTGACTGACTCACGACTGCCATCCAGAGCACACGAGAAGTCCATCGAACCTTCGACTCGGCAAACCTGCAAGAAAGCACCACTCCCTGCTCAATACACAGTGTTTCGGGGAATTTACCCCTCATCAGTTGAGCTTGAGTAGGCTGAGGAAGATTGTGCCTGAAGAGCACCACTTATATAGTGCTCTCCAGGCACAAACATCACCAGGGATACAAACTTACAGAGACGATCCGTTTCCAGCGCGACAAACACCTCGTGAACACCAGATAGCAGCGTGAGTCAGTGTCGCTCCTGGACGGTGAGACAGACGTCGAGGACCCTCGGTCATTCGCAACGCTGTCACCTCCAAACCAACTAGTCGCAAGCCCGCGCTGGGCACAACAGTACGAAGTAGTGGTTGCGACTTCGGCGATGACTTGTAAGAAAGGGTTTGCTCCCCACACCGGAGCTCGTCTCACCGTCCAGGAGCGACACTGACTCACGCTGCTATCTGGTGTTCACGAGGTGTTTGTCGCGCTGGAAACGGAGCGTCTCTGTAAGTTTGTATCCCTGGTGATGTTTGTGCCTGGAGAGCACTATATAAGTGGTGCTCTTCAGGCACAATCTTCCTCAGCCTACTCAAGCTCAACTGATGAGGGGTGAATTCCCCGAAACACTGTGTATTGAGCAGGGAGTGGTGCTTTCTTGCAGGTTTGCCGAGTCGAAGGTTCGATGGACTTCTCGTGTGCTCTGGATGGCAGTCGTGAGTCAGTCAAGTGTCAAGTAAAGTCGGCGGAATAGCGCGAGCTCCGGTGTGGGGAGCAAACCCTTTCTTACAAGTCATCGCCGAAGTCGCAACCACTACTTTATAATGGCAATAAATAAGATAAATTGTGCACTCATAACAACAGCAAAAATGAAGAAAGTCAAGTTCCATAACGTTTTCTTGTGACTGTCATCAGTGGAACGCCGTCACATAAAAATGTAATAACTAAAACACACACTTATATACATGTAGCTAATATGGTTTCAGGTAGAAATACAGCAGCTAACAAGTACAAAAAGCGAAGTAGTTGTATCACTCACACTCTTCAAGTAATACACACGCACCATTACATTCATTCACACAGTATCACATTCATCTGCCACTACCTTTCTCACATACACTATATTCACACATTGCAAAGGTGCAAACTTCGCTTTTTGTACTTGTTAGCTGCTGTATTTCTACCTGAAACCATATTAGCTACATGTATATAAGTGTGTGTTTTAGTTATTACATTTTTATGTGACGGCGTTCCACTGATGACAGTCACAAGAAAACGTTATGGAACTTGACTTTCTTCATTTTTGCTGTTGTTATGAGTGCACAATTTATCTTATTTATTGCCATTTTACGACTATTGTCTCCTCGTCGATTGTTTAAATCGGCTATAATGATACGATTTATTTGTCAAAATGATTTTATTGCATACATTTTTCATCAGCTATAGTGATGATCAAAATTTTTTTAAATTATACTGTACATCGTACATGGCGAGATCTGATCGCGGCCGTCAGGAAGCGCTGGTACGACTATGGTATCCCTCGGAGGAAATTCGAAATGTTTGGCGTTGGCTGTGCTTGTTGTTCCGGGGCATCCTCGAGCGAGAGCGGAGGCAGTAATGAGTACCAGCGCTGAAGCGCTACCGTGGTCTCCGCCGAGATGTTGGAGAAGGCATTCAGGTAACAGCGAAGACGATCAGGGACGCGGAGAAGCTTCTCCGTGACATCGACATCACGCGTCGATCGACCTGCCACTTGGAACGGTTTTCAGCGGTGATGAGTCGAGCGATGGCGACCCAGACTGAGACTCTACTCCCACTAATCGATCCTGTAGATATTGTTGATATGTCGATTGAATGTGTTAAAGTGTTTCTCTTCTAAAAGAACACATTTGTTGAGCACAGCAACTCCTTGAAAACTCACGTCTAAAAGTCACGAAGTTTTTGTTTCCGCAGGAAGTAGCTCTGCACTGCGCGTACTGCACAGTCACATGCACAGCACGCTTCTGCACGCTGCACTGAGTCGAATGACACCATACACGCATGTGTCAGGCATACCTAAGTATCCATATCGCCTGTAGTAATATATCGCCTATAGTGATATTTTCACGAAAATCAAACACCAATGCTATAGCCGATCCGTACTGTACCTTGGACCTTGGACGCGCTGCCATGTTCTGGCTATGCGGACCCCATGGGGGGTTGAGCAGGTTCGGAACAGTAGGGGCGATGACGGGATAGGTCCTGTGGTCTACTGAAACGCCGACCGCAATTGCAAACGATGCAGAAGGAGCTACGGTCTGTGTTGGTTGCTCTGGCCGAGCCACGGCTGCACTTGTGACGCTTCATGCCTTGGCGCGATAGCACACACATACATACATATATACAGGTGTGTGCACATCCCCGTCCCAGCACAGGTACTAGAAGGAGATTGTGAGTTGTGTTGGTTTGCCTCACTGACGTGCTACAGGTGGAGCTGGGCTTCTGTGATGTCCTTCAAGTTGGCTGGATTGCCTGTTTTGACAAGAGCAAGATGTTTGATGGCTACAAAGGTGGGCGCACTGGTGAAGGTACTTGGTAACCAAACTACAATAATTATTGTAACTTGATGTCAGCATTGTGTGTATCATGTGATGTACTGAGCGGGTATGCATTTCATTCGCTGTGCCACAATCAAGGCTGTGCACTTGAAACACTTTAAAAGAATCTGCCACCAGCCTGCATGCATGTGCTATTACTGGTTGCTGGTGGTTGCCACGGTGATGTTCGTGAATGGTTCTGATAGCTGTGCACATGGCTGCATGTCAGCCACAGTCCCGCTCATGTGACTGGAATGTTTGTCGATACGTGTACATGTACTGTCACCTAGTCTAAAGCTGAATACATGTGGAATCAATGGAAGTGAATCCGTACACACAAGCAGACTTGGAAGAGAAATAAACTTTGAGCAGCGTTTGTGAGTCGTGACTTGTATTCGTGGCACTAGTACTTGAGGCATCGTCGTTTTGTAACTCTGCTAGGGTCGTATAGAATCCAAGTCTGTTTTGTGCGTGTGTGTGCGTGTGTGTGTGTGTGTGTGTGTGTGTGTGTAAGTGTAAGTGTGTGTATGTACGTATGCATGATTGTGTGCACGTATGTATGTATTCACGAGCATGTACAGGAAGTGGCTCGGCCGCCTTATTGATCAGGGTGAAGCTTTCGGCTACCAAGTTGAGCCGACAAAGAGTATCATTATTGTATCCCCGAACCTCGTTCAGCAAGCTAATGTTATCTTCGGGGATCTGAAATGAACATCAAAGTAGCCACGTCCGCCCGTTTCCTAGGAGGCTGTATCGGTGAACCTGACGGAGTGAAATTGTGTGTCCAGGAGAGGATGGAGACGTGGGTGAGCAGTGTCAATTGCCGCTGCTGCCAGGAATTAACCCGACTGCTGCATGGACGATAAGTGCTGCGAATAGTGATCATGCACCCTGGCCTGAGTAGCTCACTTGGCTAGTTGAAAGTCAACCCACCTGGGCCACGTTATGTTGCTAGTACATGCACAACCCCAGTCACAGAGCACAAATTGGTTGAGTTTGGCCGTCAGGAGGCCAGCGCAAGGTATCCGGGGCACGGGTCTGATTCCAGCGAGGGGCAATGTGGTACCCCGCAGCACAAGGGTAGCGTGATACCCTACGCCAACGTGCGCGCTGCATGAGTAGCGTGATACTCGCCGAACGCTATTGCTGTTGCCTAGCAACACATTTCTGTCTTTCCTGGGCCCCCCAATGCATGTCGGGTGGCCCTGCGCATGACTTCACATTGTCATAGCAACCTTGGAAATGATCTGCGTGATAGCGATGCAAAGCTAGCTGATATGACATTCAATGGTGTTGTCGTCGAGCCGATCAGGTGCCGGAGGGTGATTGGACAGGGCAGCCTGCTTTTCGGGCAGATTGGCTTGCCTGGAGTGTGTGGGAGGATAACCGGGTGGCATTTTTTGATAACCTCATCATTGATGCCAACACCCACTAGCCCTGTTCAATCATAATGGCTTGGGTGTGAATTCGTACCCAATTTTCAGTTTTCCATGCTGTCGACCTCCGGCTACGCGGGTCCAGCAGGCGCCTGACAGGCCTGTCGATGCAGGATGGTGCTGGGGTAGGCATCGGCCATTGAGAACTGAATTTGGTCTGTTTCACGTGGAATTTCTCGGAGTTTTTCAATGTATTGTACTGGAATATTTTTCTTTTCTTTTCATGTTAATACCTCTATTTTTTCACATCTACATCTACATGACTTTATCTTGCCCGTAAAAGAGGCTGTTACCCCGAAAAAAAGAAAAGAAAAACGAGAATGTGACGGTTACTTCATATGTCGTGTATGCACTGTATGTACTGCTTTGAGCTGTCTTGACCGGCCCTGCTTATGTGCGTGCGTGTGTGTGTGCGTGCGTGTGTGTGTGTACACATGTGCCTGTGTGAATGCAGGAGTCGGTGTTGGGGACACTCGCTTTTCGGTAGGAATTGATGGATACACGAAAGCAATCTGGATCAATGGAAAGGTAAACACACTGCAAAGGCCCAAAAGGCAGTGATGCTGTGCAAGCACACTCTTACAAGTCTGGCAGTGATGCTGTGCAAGCACACTCTTACACGTCTGCAGTCTACACTTCAATGCACCAGTGGAGAAATGCAGCCCCTACATGTCTATGTCAGCTCTTGTACATTTTATAACAAGTGAGCACTCTGTTGATAACCGTGACACAGGGGGCCTACACGGGGCACTTCTGCTTTTCAGCCAAAGCCAAAGGCAAAGCCTTGGCCCAAGACCAGCTACCCAGCACTACAATGTAAGGGTTCGTATTGAAAAGTACAGTATTGGCACGAAAAATACAGTATTCACACGAAAAGTACAGTATTGACACGAATACTAGTAGAGAAGAAGGCACATACAGTCAACTTCGCTAATACCGACTGCAGATATAACGACAATTCGCGAATAACGACAGAATTTTCATGCCCAGGGCAAAGTACCATCCAACTGTAACACATATAATGAGACTTCGGGTATAACGACACTTCGCGAATAAGGACACTTTTCTGATGCCCCGCCGAGTGTCGTTATAAGCGAAGTTGACTGTACACCCAATGAAAATATCAGTTGATAAAATGTCAGTTTCATGCATCAAAGCAAGCAAAAAAAGCACCGGCAAGAACACAATAGGTACTTTGGACTGTGTGTCAGACCCTGCATATGACCTTCTTGCCCCCGCGTCTTAGTGTGTTAATCATGAATTGTGTGTGCGTGTGTGCGTGTGTGTGTGTGTGTGTGTGTGTGTGGCGTGTGTGTGTGTGTGTGTGTGTGTGTGTGTGTGTGTGTGTGATGGTGTGTGTGTGTGTGTGTGTGTGTGTGTGTGCGCGCGTATTCCGATGTACTCCGTGTGGTGTAGACCAGGTGTGCATTGGGGGGTCAATTCACATGGCTTCGCCAGTTGTGTGGATTACAGTTACCTGGCGCTTGTCTTGATCTGTTTCAATCAGAATCAGATCCGCTATCGTTGCTATAAAGAGAAAATCTGTGGGTGCACATCCAGTGCATTTGCAGATTTGCGTGCTTCTCTTCCGACGGGCGTATACATGGTACATGGTACATGGTGTGCGCGTGTGTGCTTCATAGATGTGTGGTGTAGACCAGGCTGAATAGTGGCAGTCAATTCTTCAGCCTTGCAAGCTGTTGAATGGTGCAATCCCAGCACAAGCTGCTATGGCTTCTGCGGTAGCATCGCTATCATCGCCTCTGGCGATGGGCGTCCAATGGTCTAATGGTGTGTGTGTGTGTGTGTGTGTGTGTGTGTGTGTGTGTATGTGTGTGTGTGTGTGTGTGTGTGTGTGTGTGTGTGTGTGTGTGTGTGTGTGTGTGCGTGTGTGTGTATGTGTGTGTAATGTGTTTGACGATTGATTGATTGCCATCCATTGCAGAAAGTGCAACTGCTCGAAATGGAGCCTTGGAAGCGTGGAGATATTGTAACATGCGTCCTGACATTGTGAGTTCACTACATTGAAAGGAACATTAGGATGGTTGTAATGATGATTGTGATGATTGTGATGATGATGGTGATGGTGATGATGATGGTGTTGAACTGTGAAAGAGGATTTTCTGCAGTTTTATCAATCTGCGGGGAAAGGATTTGGGTGGACACCCAATCCAAAATCTGAACCATTTCTACAAAGTCTCCATGTTTCGACGCATGGGCGACATCAGGAAACTGAAACAATAAGTCTAAAATGGAAATGGTTCGGATTGGCATTGTATTTAGGAATGAGGGTCTTCCCAGACCTTTCTCTGCGGAATGATGATGAACAGCTGCTGGGCAAAGTCACGCTCAATACCAGCATGCAGTAGAGGAATACCACTAATGACGATCTGCACCCCATGTTCCGCAGTACAACTGATAAGAAAAACTTACTGTTGTGGACGATCAAATCCGCTGAGAAGTCAAGCGGCCACGGGGGCGCGGACCTTGCAGCCGTGAGCACTGCTGCCGTGAGCACTGCTGCCGAACTGGTCCATTGTGTTGACAGTGTGTACATGAACAACAGTGCTAAGGCAGTAAGGGCCGCGCCGGCCCTGGCCATTCCAAGGCAGTAAGGGCCGCGCCGGCCCTGGCCATTCCACCGGATTTCAATGTCCACGACAGTAAGTACAGCTCGTATGTACATGTAGTTCACATTAATCTAGTTAAAAAGTCCACGCATGCTTCCACCAAGGATAGCCATTCTTCTCTGTCAGTTGTCTTGGATAAAGGTACTGCACCCAAAATGGACAAGCTGACTTTCTGCAGGCCGCTCTTCAAACCGTCGATCTAGCGCATGTGGGGGCCAGTAGCTACCAAAATTAATGTTACAGAAGCGAGTGGCCTAGTTTTTGGGACAAGAAGAGCAAACTTCCTCTCCATGCTGACGGTGTGTTGGACCACAGCGCCGGGAGCCTCACGTGCATATGGGACAAACATAGAAAGGAGACTTGAGGCTCATCTCATGATGATTTGAGTAGGGCATGCAAAAGCACTGAAGTGTCTGATCAGACAGTAGGGCACAGAATGCAAAGAAGATTTTGCCCTATAGTGTAGATCATGGTGTCTTTTTCTTCGGTGTACCCGAAACACAGTCTAATACGGAGGGAGCTAAAATGGCTGTCATCATGTGGACCTAGCGTGGCGTGTACGTCGAGTGCGTCAATTCTGGCGGGAGAATTAGCAATTCCGCCCTCTCTTCGGAATTGATGGAATTGGAATCCGTCGATCCTGACGACGGAATTTGTATAATCGAGCGGTGCATCCCCCCCTAACTAATTCTAGAACTGACCGAAAGGTTGTAAATCAGATTTCCAATACATGTGGTCTACCGGGTGCTCATTCCAATAGCCTTGGTCCGAGGAAGCTGAGACGCTCCCTACATCCCATATTGCAAGTTTTGCGTAGCGATTAAAAGTATGTTAACGCGGTGACGTAATGTTTTCACTGTATGACGTAATGTTTTCACTGTATGACGTAATGTTTTCACTGTATGCTGATGTCTATCACGCGCGTGTTCGCGCCAGCTCACGGATGCGCCGTTGTGGCCTGATACACCCAGAGATCACCTGCCAGCTGTGGTGAGGCGTCGGCCAGCACCCTAGAGTATGTGGTGAACGCTTCCACCCATGTGGCAAGATCGTAGATGTGTCGTTTGGCGGGTTGCCGGTGGGAAGATTTGGGGACGAGCTGCACAGATCGGCCCGCGCCCACGTCAAGGTGCATCACATCAGGATCCCCCTCGAAACCCAGGGATTCAGGCAGCAAATCGCTTAATTCTGTGAACTCACCCCGCACAATCCGGTCTCGAAGGCGAGGCGGCACCACCGGGAGGTCTCCAGATGACGGCCACTGTTGTGACGGGTGGCTGGCAGTCGGTACTGATACTGGTAAAATCGGCGCTGTAGTGGCGATTGATCCGGCAGCACAAAGCGAGGCCCCGCTGAGCGTCGGAACATGAGCGGGTTCCGAGTTTACGCCAGTTCCTGGGCCGGCGAGTTGGGCCGCGCCAGCCTGCTCCAGCAGGGTAACCTTGTCGGCCAGAGGCTGAATAGCAACAGCCACGGCGGCTGAGATCTGGCTTGCCAGCGTGGGCTGGGGTGGTTAGCCGGTCGGCATTGAAGACGGAGGCACTTGGCCAGGTACAGCCGGAGCACGAGGAGCACAAGGCGGCGCGAGGTTCTGGCATCATTGTCGATGCCAACGTCCGGTTCCACAATGACAGGGTACAGGGTGCGAATAATTGTGATTGTCACCTCCCCACAGCACATCACTGTTCAATCATCCGGCAGTGTGATGCGGTGGTGTCCATGCGCAAGTGTGCTGACACCGTCGGCTAAGATGTACCGCTTACTGTCGAATGGTGACAATTGTGTGGTGGTTGTTGTGCATGATGATCGTCATCATCCTCATCATCTGTATCTGGAACCACTATCAATGGCCAGTTGACCCCACCCCCATTGACTTCATCAATTCCAATCGCGCTATCTGGCGAGTTAGCAGCATCCTCCTCCAATACCTCCACAATCATGTCATCACCTTGGGCTGCCTCCATTTCTATTACATCACAGTCCATCAGATTCCCCCGATGCTGGGTGAGTACACCATACTAGAGGTTGGAAGTTTGAAATTGTCGCTTCATTCTTATAGAAAGAAAGGAGGAACGTGAAACTCCCAGAATCGGTTGTTGTCTGGACGCTACATCGAATGGTCTTGGTCCAAGGAGGCTGCGGTCCAGTACTGCTGCGCACACCCGTCACCAGTCACCGGTCCCTGTACTGGTGTAGTACACCATGCACCGGTCACTGGTCCCTGTACTGGTGTAGTACACCATGCACTGGTCACTGTACTGGTGTAGTACACCATGCACTGGTCACTGTACTGGTGTAGTACACCATGCAGATAACAACCTGCAGTAGTTGTTACTTGTACCCGTGACCCGTGACTCGATGGAGTAATGATTGTGACAGCCTAGCACAGCACAGCGCTCTGTCATCTTCTACCACAGAACCCACTACCGCCGACATGACAAGGAATGCTTGACACTACATAACAGCAGCGCAGAGATGATCCATTCCGCCACCAGATACAGACACGTGCCCGTGTACGAGAGGTCTTGTATTTCTCTACATACATCACCAGCTGTACATAACTGTGCTGTGCAAGAGCGATTGGTCATACCACAGTAGAAACTTGACTGACTGTGCCATGGCATCGTAACTGGCACACCATCAGTATTGGAATTTCCATGGTTGTAATAGGAGTATCACTCCACACTGAGTGTGAATCCAGCATGCGTCAGCACCGGCATGACTTCTCTCCTACTGTATCCAATCACCAGTGCTAGTAGTGAGTTTAGCAACACTACCTGCCAGTCGCTGTTCCTTGCGGAAGATACCGAACACCGTCTTCAGTCTCATCCTGGGCACAGGGTGTCTCGAGATCAAGTGCATCTGCTGCCCTCGATTATGCTTTCATTGGGTTTGGATGTAAATAGCATGGCACGGTGCCAGGTTGCCATGTCCAGCGAGATACCTCTGAAAGGTGCAGAATCGACCCTGATTGATACCCATCTGCTTTATTTCTCATTAATAACTTATTGCATCATCGTGTGGTCTTGAACCAGTATACCCCCCCCCCCCCCCAAAAAACTTATTGTACTGTAAAGCAGTGGGTCTAGCTATCCTGTTTGACTTGCGGTTGATTTGGCAAATCTAAACACTGACCTATGGGAAGTGTAGCGCTTGTGCGTGTGTGTGTGGGGGGGGGGGGGGTGGCGAGGAGAGAGAGAGAGAGAGAGAGAGAGAGAGAGAGCAAATTGTTTGAGCACGCTTGTGTTCTACCATCATGTGTATGTAGAACACAAGCGTGTACCGTGAAGCTGTGCTGTTTCTGGTGTGCCGTTGCCTTGCTTCCCTGGCCCTATGCAGGGACGGCTGTTTTATGTTCTATGTCAACGGAGCCCTAGCCGGTGGACAGGAAATGCGTGAGTAAAGCCAACAAAAAATCTCCTTGCAGACACTGGTTAGGTTGGGGTGGATTGTGATGGAAGTCATGGAATGAGTTTGTATGGCAGCAGTGTTCAGCTGATCATGCAGCGTGAGTACACACATACAACCACCTAGCAGTATGCACGCATACACAGGCGATGAGAAGCTGTTCTGCTGCAACTGGAAAGTTTCTAACGCGAGGCAACTGTCGGACAGAATCTTGTGGACACTTTTATGAAGTTCGTTACAGCAGAACTGCCACTTGTATCCTCTGCATGTGCGTGTGCGTGCGTGCGTGTGCGTGCGTGTGTGTGTGTGTGCGTGTGTGTGTGTGTGTGTGTGTGTGTGTGTGTGTGTGTGTACGTGCGTGTGTGCGTGTGTGTGCATTGTGCCGCACTCTGGTGCATTGAGCACTCTATTTGAGCTACCCCAGTTGGGACCTGACAAGGGATTGTAGTGGCATACCATAAGACAGCTATTCTCCAGATGGAACGGCTTACCTGCCTACTGGTAACATAGGATGCGTGTTTGGATATTTATTCAGTCCCTCACCTCTTAGTAACAATGGCGAGGCTTTCTGTAGCTTTATGTAAGATAGGTTGGTTAGAGCAGGCCTGCCGCTTTCCCAGTGATACTGCAATCATAAAAAAAAATAACATCAGGCATTAAACATCAGACATCGACACATTTGTAAGTTGAACACCATAGCAAGCCTACTGATGGCGAATATGCTGAAACCTTGCAGCAATGACTGGTAAAGAGGAGTTTTGATGATTGCAGTGAAAGATCAAGCCTGCTCTAAAACCAGCTTGTTTTATATGTTCAGGAGCAATAGCCATCTGCTCTTCAGCAATGCGTATAGACATTTCCAATTTTGACGGCTTTCCATCCCAATACTCCAATCTCTCTGGAGGCGTGGGTTCAAATCTGCCACCAGAGTTAGCTGCCGGCTAAATATGCACAAACAGTCCCCTCACACTCGTACAACACAGGGTTTTATAGGCTAAATATGCAGTGGGCCCCTCACACTCGTACAACACAGGGTTTTATAGGCTAAATATGCAGTGGGCCCCTCACACTCGTAGAACACAGGGTTTTATAGTTTCAGAAGTATTGAATATGGAAGAAGGGAAAACAGTTACACCTTAGCCCATATTTCCATTTTCAGAATAACTGTCTTCCAATGCGAAATGCAACGTACGGAGCGAACACCTGACTTCACCCCAGGCAAATGTGCCGTTATGAACCCTCTAGTACTGACCATCGACTGCATTTGCGTTGATTGGCATGAAAAAACACAAAAATCAGAAAATGAGTAGGGGGCGGCACATTTTCACAGGGGGCGCGCAAACAGAGTAGGGGGGGGGGGCTTCGCCTCCCTACCCCCCCCCCCCCCTTTTGGCTAGAACCCTGGTGTGCAGGGGCGTAGGCAGGGGGGGGGGGGGGGTGCTTTGGGTGCCAAAGCACCCCCCTCAAAAATTTCGACCATGGGTCTGGCTTTACATGCATTGTATGATCAAACAGCGGCGACTGCCCTCAGCCCAGAGTGGGTGCATGCTAGGTACGTAGATCTGCGAGTACTGCATTGACATTGTACTACACGTGCTTGCACTTTTCCATTGCAGTCAGTACAGTGTGCAAGTAATAGTTAGTATTAGTTACTCCAAGAGTCCATAAACCATTGTAAACTGCTTATGGTAGTGACTTTACTCCCTCGCACCCAGACGCTGATTTTTTGGAAACAAGTTTCTATACTTCCGATGGGAGAATCCGACATGGCAGTGCATTTTGGCGTGGCCAGGTCAAATTGTAGAATATCGCATCGAGTGAATTGCTTTATCTGAGAGAGGAGATGTTCGTGCCCTTGAGACCCGAAGTCCCGTTTCCATACGACAAAATTTAGGAGCTCTGCGCTCAGCGCTTTTTCAGGGTATGAATTTCGGGTTGTTCTGGTCGGGTCGCAGCGTCGCGGACTATTCCATCGTCTTCAGCGTCGAAAAACTACTGGCCATGTGAAATTACAAGGTGGTGAGACGCTTTCGTCTTCCTCTACGAGCGAATTTGTTTTGCGCCAGCATACCTAAGTATGCAATTTCGTACGCGCAGTTCGAGTGACGAGGCGTGTGCACTGTACACTGTACTGCATGCACGGACTGTGCGGTCGTTCTCGATTCTCCCATCGCTCCCATTCATTTCTGTTTCCAGCAAAAGTCCAACTTGGCGCACTTCAACTCACTATAACTCAAGAATGGCTGGGCCGATTCGAATAATACTTACAGATTTCCTATGTACTACGCCTGGGAGAATCGAATGAGACCAAAATCGAAGTGATCGGAGCAAGTTTTGGAAATTGGGTGTAGTCACTACTTATGGACTCTTGGTTACTCCATATGGCCATGCAGCCGCGTGGTGCGTAGTCCCGCCTGTAGACTCTACTCAGGCTACAGCTAGCGCTAGCGCTATCACTTTAATAATAGCACAGTATACAGTACACTAGCTGTCACACAGAAGAGGCCCACATTTTTATTGAATGTTTTCGCTCTATTCACATCATGACGATACATAGAGAACAGTTGACAATGCAATGCAAATGTGTAATTATATAGATTGTTGGAATGGGAAGCTGGAGACATTCATAATACATAAATTCAAGGTGTACACCGCACTAGCATGCATACACAATATGCATATATACAAGATTTCTCAAACGAACGTTTTTTGGAAAAAAATCATGGGCTCCCCCCTTGACCATGATCCTGGCTACGCCCCTGGTGTGTATGTACATGTATACGTGTTTTCTGATGATTGCTTGTATGTGAAACTTGGAGTAAAAACATATATGTTTTTTTATCCGCTTATTATTGTACGCGTACATGTACGTGTCCAGAATGGAATCTTCAAAGCGAGCATTTGCAAATCTACCCAGCTGTTTCCATGGCTCTCAACCAATGCTGTGCAGTCAACTTTGGCCAGCTGCCTTTCCGGTGAGTCTTGCTAACTGACGCTTGTACATGGCCGAAAGTTAGTGACTAGACATTGAAATGTGCCACTGCATGTGTGCTTGTTGAGAGCTGCATAAGCCACGGCATTTGCCAACACTGGGCCGTGCAGGCAAACGCTACACTGGTATCTATGCCGACTTCCACATGACTGGCTACACATGTAGTGTAGTGCTGTGTGTGTCAAGTGATTACATTGCAGTGCATTTCTAGTGGACAGACCATCTTTCCAAAAACAAAACAAGAACTGTCAGGCCCATATCTGTACCACATAGATCTATGATCACATAGTCCATACATCTGTGCTGTGTTCATATGTGTGCGTGCGGCTGTTTATGTGTGCATACAGATACCGGCCGCTGTACCCGGCACTGCCTGTGGCTTACTCGACCATGCTTTCCAGTACGTCACGCCGCACTTTGTTAATGTCACCACTACAAACCTGCCCATTATACGGGTACTTAATCCCAACCCCCTCCAAAAGCCCACCAGATGTGGTCTCTGTTCAGCTGTCTCCCATTTATACATGTGATATTTGCTCCCCAGTCACCTGGAGGAAACACGTATGACGGGTGCTGCGGACGGGATCCTAAGCCAGAGTTGCACATGACATCAAGCAGCATTGATATAATGTACGGGATGTCTACATGAAAAAATCTAACTGCTAGGCGGACAAGTTGTTTTGGCAGATGTGGATGCATTTTAAACTAGGAACTTTGGATCCTTTAGTTTGCTTTAAAGTACCATCTTGTGCATACTACTTCGAACTAGTGTGCATATACCATTATCTTGTGAATACTAGTGTGCATCTATACCATATCTTGTGAATACTAGTGTGCATCTATACCATATCTTGTGAATACTAGTGTGCATCTATACCATATCTTGTGAATACTAGTGTGCATCTATACCATATCTCG